GAAAGCTAACACACTGTTCATGCATTCAGTGTGATGCAACTTATGGTTTTTGTATCAGGTATTTTGTCACAGCAACAGAAAACTAACACACTTTTCATGCATTCAGTGTGATGCAACGTATGGTTTTATGTTTTGCAATTTACTGTGTGAAGTACATAAAGAAAATCAATTTAAACAGAAATTAGTTGGAAAGGAAGAAGTATTTTAATAGTCTCTCTCAGTCTCTGTTTTGGTGGTGGGGATTGAACTGAGGGATGTTTTACCACAGAGGGAGCACGAGGGTAGGAAAGATGGTGGAATGAGACAGACATCATTACCCTAGGTACATGAATGATTGCATGAATGGTGGGACCCTACTTCGTGTACAACCAGAGAAATGAAAAATTGTGCTCCATTTGTATACAATGACTCAAAGAACATTCTGCTGTCTTGTATAACTGATTAGAACTAATAAATTAAAAATTTAAAAATAAATTTTAAAAATATGTTGTTTACATTGACATTGCAATGACTTGAGCCCTGAATTTTTAGACCATAAAGTGTCTCAAAAATTTTGAGAATCATTAGTCAGGATGTGGTTTCCCAAGATCCATCAAATAATCTCCAAGTTATTTTGCAGTTTGAGGAAAAAAGTGAAAATTTTATCCCCAAATATTTTTTTTTTTAAAGAGAGAGTGAGAGAGAGAGAGAGGATGAGATAGAGAATTTTTTTTAATATTTATTTTTTAGTTTTCAGTGGACACATCTTTGTTTGTATGTGGTGCTGAGGATCGAACCCAGGCCGCACGCATGCCAGGCGAGCGCGCTACCGCTAGAGCCACATCCCCAGCCCCCCAAATATTTTTAAAGCATTAATTTCACCAGAAATTTCCTCTCATGTGCTACAAGGTCCATCTTGGTCAGTTCGTCTTGGCTGACATCCAGTTAACCAAAGAATGATTGGTTTTCATTTGTGTCTCGTTGCTTAAATTTAATTTTTTCTTTTGGCTCAAAAGTGATTGAAGCATAAAAGAAGAAAAAAAGCAGTAAAATAAATGTCACAGTTGAGAGTGTTGTCATAAACATAGAAAATGGAGCTTTTACATTCATACATTTCTGGGTTTATGTTAGGAAGAGATCTGATTTGCACTAACAGCCAAAATAGAAAATTGCAAATATGGCCAGGAGTGGTGGCAGTCACCTATAATCCCAGCTCAGGAGGCTGAGGCAGGAGAAACATAAGTTCTTGGCCAGCATCAGCAACTTAGAGAGACTGTGTCTCAAAAAGTACTAGGAATGTAGCTCAGTGATAGAGAGCCCCTGTATTTAATCCCCAGTACCACAAAAACAAACGAAATTGTAAATATGAAATATAATAATAGATGTCTAGAAATTACATTTTATTATTTTGGTGATGCTGAGGATTGAACCCAGGGCCTTGTGCATGTGAGGCAAGCACTCTGTCAACTAAGCTATGTCCCCAGCCTAGGTTCATTTTTATGTTTGAAGAAAAAGCAGAATAAGCTACTGGGAGTGTTATGGTTTGGTTATGAAGTGTCCCCCAAAAGCTCACGTGTGAGACAATGCAAAAGGGTTCAGAAGAGATGATTGTGTTACAAGAGCCTTAACTCAATCCATGAATTAATCACCCAGTGGGATTAATTGAGTGATAACTAAAGGATGGTGGGGTAGGACTGGAGGAGTGGGGCAGTGGAGGCGTGGCTATGGGATATGTATTTTGTATCTGGAGAGTGGAGTCTCTCTCTTTGCTTCCTGATCATCATGTGAGCTGCTGCCCTCTGCCACACTCTTCTGCCGCCTTGATGTTCTGTCTCACTTTGAGCCCCAAATAATGGAGCTGGCCTTCTATGGACTAAGACCTCTGAAACTGTGAGCCCTCAAATAAACTTCCTCCCCTACCGTTGTTCTGGTCAGGTCCTTTAGTCATAGCAGTGAAAAAGCAGACTAAACCAGGGAGAAAGGCTGTATCACAGGACTCTCTTGGACATTATTTATGGTTAGAAGATGATCTATTAATGCTTTTGTTTTGTGAGTTAGGCAAGTGTTCTCGATTATGGTAAAGCAAACAGAAAGTATATGTTTAACATATATGAAGAACATAATCTAGAAAACAAAGTGTTCATTGTTTCTTTTCTATTTATGGTTTTTTTTTTAATCTGTGCTACAGATATCTCATTTTGTTCTTTTTTGAGCAATGACGTAACTAGAAAAGGAGGGGTTAGTGCTAAGGGAGCATCTGCTATATGTGCAGTAAAAGAAGCATTATAATCTGAATAAAAAGAAATTTGCTTCCACCCCTACCTTCCAAGCCTCTTCTCAAAAATCATTTGAGAGTGTGCCTCCTGTGGCTGGGGTTATAGCTCAGTGGTAGAGAGCTTACTCGGCACACATGAGGCACTGGGTTCGACTCTCAGTACCACATTTAAAAAAATAGATAAAGAGTATGCCTCCTGATTTCTATTGAATCTTTAATTAGAATAGGAATCAGTAAATAAAGTTTTGGGGCCAGATTCTCCCACCCCAATTTTTAAATGGCTGGTGAACAATGATTTTACTATTTTGTTTGTTTGGTTTTTTTTTAATTTTTCAGTACTGAAAATCCAACGCAGGCCCCTGGCATGCTAGGCAAGTGCTTTACCACTGCACTATATCCCCATTTTTTTAAATTTTAATTTGAGACTAACTTGCCTAGGCTGGCCTCAAACTTGCAATCATCCTGCCTCAGTCTCCTGATTATCTGGGATTATAGCCATAGGCCCATCTTCCCTGTCCACCTTTCCTTTTTTAAATTGTTGGAGAAAATATCAAAATACTTATATTCTGTGAAACATGAAAATTATATAAATTTCAGATTTCATTGTGTGGAAATAAAGATTTATTGGGATATAAGTGTACATGGGTTTATGTATTGTCTCTGTTTTCACACTTCAGCAGCAGGGTTGATTGTTGAGACAGAAACCATATGGTCTGCAAAGTCTAACAGATTCACTGTCTGGCCTTTTATAGCAGAGGTTTGCTGCCCCTGACTTAAAGTAACTCTGCTTTGATCAGTGTTATTTATTGTTCTTCCCCATGGGAATTCAAGTGAAGAAAGAGTTCTACTGCCTTAAAAACAAGTGTTTTGTTTTGTTTTGTTTTTAAAGTATGTAAACTTTTCAAAAGGTCAATCCAGACAAATGGGCTAGTATTCTTSTTCTTTTGCCACCCTGAAGGGCAAAGCAGGTTAGGGTTCACAGTTCAACTTGAAAACACAAATGAATAATTCAAGGCAATATTCAAGTATACACTGAGGTGATACAAAGATTAACTGTTTATGCCACCAGAGATTTTTAAATCTAGTAGAGGTATAAGAAACACATCTTCCTCATAATTTTAAAAATACATTTCTTAAAAGAGATTAGACATAGCTTAAAAGAAAGGCATTTGGCTCAAATTTCTGTTCTCTCAAATTGGGGCCCAGCAGATTTCTACTCTCTCTTATTCTGAATTTAACAACATAGTCCCTAAAAGTCTAATTTAGCTGTGGCTCCTTTGTTTTCATAGCATCCATATGTTCCTATTATTGTTAATTTGCTTGGTTTCTCTGTACTAAACTATAAGCTTCTTTAGTATCTTCCTTACTAGACAAATGAAGAATTATTTCTTCTTTGAGCTTAGTATAATATATTTCAGAGCATTGACTTTGGAGACAGATTTAGTAGTCAATCCCAACTCTTCTGCTTTCATCCAGAATCTGTTTCTACATGTACTAAATGGGAATAGCAATAATAATTATAATGATGACAATAATAAAATCCTTTCAACTTTGTTGTGAACTATAACTGAGATGATGCAAGTAAATACTTGAGATTTGTTAACTGTGTGAAAGTTGTCAGCACCAAAATAGATTCACTTATTTCAACTCTAATAAAACGAAGTCCAGAGGCAAAGAGGGGAGAACCTTCACTCATGTGAGCCTGAAACAGGAACTGCCAAAAAGGAATGGAAATTTACCAAACCAGAATTTTCCAGTTAAGCCACTTCTGTAAAGACCTTCTGCTAGTAAGAGCCTGTACCACCAATGAACAATGGTACCTCCTGCAATAAGCCCCTTGTAAACCAGGGGTCTCGGTTTCAAAATACCTTAAATGGAATTTTCCTTTTTGCCCCTAAAAACCGCTTTGCCTCATCTCTTGAGGCATCTATAGTCTGCCATGGTGCAAGTGAATCTCAGATTGCTGTCCCTTAGATGGCATAACTGAAGCACAGAGGATTGTAAATTGCCATAGGTTACTTAGCTAGTAAGAGGCAAAATTGGGATTTGAACCTATAGTTTGCCTCCAGAGTTTGGGTTTTTAATTACTGTGTTCTAATGYGTGTATTACTCTCTGGTTTGCCATTACTCATATGTGATTTATAGTTTACCTACGGTAATTCTTTCAAAGAGTTTTATTTGTAGTGCCAAGCGTATGATAGATAATACATACTTGTGCTAAACAAAGTAATGAAGATGATGTTATGATAAAATTGTAATTAATACAATGCAATCATTGCTTAACATTTTTTGGCTTAAAGTAATTACCATGTTTCACTGTAGGTCCTCTTAGGAATTTTAACCAGCATTGGCTATTTTGAAGCAGTCTACTTTAAGAATACAAAAATTTGGGACAAAGATACTGCTTAACCAATCTATTTATATTCCTAAATTCAGTTTTGGTTGCTGGTACTTGCCCAAAATATTCTGTGTGTTTTATTTAGAGTTTTTCCTTTTTTGGGTCTCTCTGTTAAATGCTTGTTGATTTATTGGTATTAAATCACATTGATTGCAGCATTCAATTCTCACAGAAGTTTTAAAGACTTTGGACATGCTAGTCATGACAGTGAAGTTTGATGTTGAATTTGGCCTCTTTAAACTTTTGAAAAAAATAAGGATCTTGAAATTTGCTTTATTTTATATGTCTCTTTCAGAATTCTCCACTTTACCAGTACTTACAGGATTTGGGACACACAGATTTTGAAATATGTTCTTCTTTGTCACCAAAAACCGAAAAATGTGCTACCACAGAGGGACAACAAAAGCCTCCTATGAAAGTCCTATCGAAAGTAAGAGAGCACACTGATACTCATTCTTTCTTTTTTTTTTGGTACGGATACTGAATGCAGGGGTGCTTAACCASTGAGCCATATCCCAGCCCTTTTAATTTTTAAATTTTGAGACAGACAACTTGCTAAGTTGCTGAGACTAGCCTCAAACTTGGAATCCTCCTGTCTCAGCCTCCTGAGTTCCTGAGATTATAGATATGCACCACCACATCTGTTGAGAACATATTCATTTGTGTGGGGGGGAGGARGGGTTGCTAGGAACTTAAGTAACCCAGGGCCTTCTACCCACTAGGCAAGGACTGTTGTCACTGAGCAACATGTCAGGCAAGCATGCTCATATTTTTATGTTTTTTTAATTATCTTATTAGTTAAATACTTTTGCCTCCCATAATAAAAAACAAAACCATCTCCTAAGCCCCTCCATGTCCTTGGTGAGGTGCTTATTTTTCATTTTATCAGTGGTACACAATTGTTTAGGTAAATGGGAATCCTTACTGCTGCTTTGGACTGTTTTGTGGATAACTTACATAAGCTGAGAAAATGAACATGGTTGAATTAAAATATATTATTTCTTTAATATTTAAGTTATCCAAAAGGATTCAGAAAAATATACTAAAACTTTAGTTAGAACCGACCTAATAGGAATCCTCTACTTAATGGAATTATCCCCTCTAAGTATTTTTTTAAAAGAACACAAACTATAAGAAAGCAAATTGAAGTTTTTGAAACACAGTTTCAAGGGTATATGAAAAATGGGTATGTTTACCTGAATTTCTGATGCCTTTATATTTAGAGGATTATTTTTCATCTATACAGTAAATTGCTCATGTAAGTGATATACAACATTGTAAAGCTGAGATACTAGAAGAATCTCCATTAATTATGTCTTGGAAGATGCATCTACAAGATTCCTTATATTTTATTAGCTATATTTACTGAAATATGAAAATATTTAGTACATTTCAGTCTTATTCAAAGGATTTAGAAAAATATTAGCCATTAGCTAGATTACCTCATTCCTTAATCCTTCTAGTTTGATCCATGTTTTATTATAAGACTCAGTTACTATTGTGAAGAGACATTCAAATTTCCAATTAGTCATTTACTCCTTTGTGATAAGAAGATAGAGAATAAATTGACAGGAATATTTTCCTGATCCTGTTAGTAAAACGTAAAATGTGAGGTAACCAAGCTGGCCCCTTTGCAATAACAAACTAAACGCTAAAGAAATGTTTTTAACTAATACCTAGAAATGGAAGTTAGGGGAATTAATTTTCACATGGGTCACAATTTACTCCTTCTTGCCCTTTTCTTTCTTGGGAAGGGGTTTGAAAAACAAAACCTAAAGTTAGGTCTGATAGGCTATTTTTAGACTAGCACTTGTATTTGAGATTACTTAGCATCAGCAGACAAAGAATAGCTAAGGGATAATCTTTGGGCAGGGATGGGAATTGGCTTCTAGTTTTGGAAGTGGTTTTTGGCATAAACTTAGGTTTTGTAGATATTAATGCTTGTCATTTATGATAAGGATTTTATTTATAGAAATGTTTATAAACAAATCAGATAAAGAGCTTACAATTGAATCCTCTCAGTAATTGAGGTGGAAAAAAAAAAAAAAAAAAAACCGCAGCCAGAGGACGTTTGTCTTCTTATTGTTCATCTCTAAGCAACTTTTTTTACTTTATGAGCTATATCTTCCTCAAATGAATTTTAGCTGTCCCTGAATCTGGGACAGCTAAAATTTAGAAGCATTTATTGAATTATTCAGTTCATTCTCAGGGAATGTATTTTTAGAATTGTGCCCAAATTTCTGTTCAGGGAGTGAACTATCAATTATTTTTCTTTGCAAACAGTGTTTTGTATAATATATGTTCTTGATGAAGCAGTCATTAGCATTATTAATTGCCTTCTCTTTTTTTTCATGTTAATGATAAGTATTTATTGTATAGTCTCTTCTAGTATTTGTATCATRAATATTCAACCTTTTTTTCTCCTTTTCTGTGGTTGTTCTTTTTTTTTTAATATTTTTTTTAGTTGTCARTGGACTTTATTTATTTATATGTGGTGCTGAGAATCAAACCCAGTGCCTCACATGCTAGGCAAGCACTCTATCACTGAGCTRCAACCCCAGCTCTGTGGTGGTTCTTAAATGTTCCTTTCATAAGGTTTTTTTGTTTGTTTGGTTTCATTTCTTTACAGTCCTGGGGATTGAAGCCAGGGGTGTTCTACCACTAAGCTACATTCCCAGTCCTTTTTACTTTTTATTTTAAGACAGGTCCTCACTAAGTTGCCCAGACTGGCCTCTAACTTGCAATCTTTCCAACTTCCAGTCCTCCTGCCTCTGCCTCCTGATTGTAGGCATACACCCACCATTCCCAGCTCTTTCACAAGATTTTAGCATCAGGCCTCTTCTCTCCTTGGTCTTTCTTCTCTGGGTAATCTTATCTACTATCTTGCCTTCATTGATTGGTTATATACATTCTCCAGGCTTTTCTGAGGTCCAGATGCTTATTAGACATTTTCGCCTGCATGTGTTCCAGTAAGCACAGATTCAGTATGCCCCAAACAGGACTTCTTTTCTCAGTCACCCCCCAAAACAAACAAAAAACATTCTTTCTGTATTCCCAAATTACTACCCTCTTGTCAGTTATCTCACCATTTCCTGTCATTCCTGTGTTGCTTTGGTAACTAATTGATGTATCAGGTCAGCTTCTATGTATCTTAAGTCTAACTCTATGTATTACTATGTTTACATTCAATACCTTGCTGAAGCCTTTATCATTATTTATGACTTATTAAATATCCTCCTAGTCATTCTGCAGACATTACTTGCCATTATAGCCTTTACACCATTGCCAATTATTTTTGTAAAATGCTGATTTATTGTTTTGTTTTCTTGCATTAAAAACCTTTGGTGGCCCCTCATAACCTATCAGATAATGTCTAAACTATGATGTTATCTAAGATCATACCATGCCTTTCATTATACTCCCCCACCCACCGTCATGCTAGGGATTAGACCCAGGGCCTCCCTTATTCTAAGCATACACTCTACCATTTAACTATACCCTCTGTCTTATCTTTTTATTTTTCTTTAATTGGCACATAAAAATAGTAAGTTTTTATGGAATCCATATACCTTTTAACTTCCTAAATAATCCCTTCTTCCTATAATAATAACTGTCCTGGGCTWTGCCACCATTCCCATGGTCTGTGCTTCCTTAGCCTCTCTCCTTTGCTCTTCCTCTTCCCTTCCCTGGAATGTCCTCCCACCTTTGTTGAATTCCTGCTCCTCTGATAGGGCTTAGCTCCAGTATTAGCTGCTCTTTTGACCTCCTCTCCTCCCATACTTTATTCTAGACTTTGCATTGGTGTATAATTATTTCTATTGTCTCTTCTATACTAAGTTCCTGAAAACAGCAGTTATGTGTATTTATTTTTAATTCCTATGACCCTTTGCAGTACCTGGGTATTGTAATCACTCAATATAAATTCCATCATGTAATGAATATAACCTCCTTTTTCTGGCACGCTCAGAAATGGGCTATTAAGGTAAATTGTATTTTTGGTTGATTCAATAATAAATCTTTTATTTCAGTATGTGACAGTTTTTCTAAAATGATTAAAACATCTTTCTGCCTTAATATTATGAAATGAAATAGTCTTAATATTTGAGAACTTGGCWTGCCCTAGGATTTTCATTCTGAAATAAATACCAATGTCACATTGACATAGATAGTATATAGTGTTCCCAAGACAAATAGATTACATTAGAATGTCTTTGGGCTGCTTTTGGAGAAACAGATTTCTAGGCCTTATTCCAAACCTGTTGAATCAAACTTTTCTTAGTTTGGAGGCTCAGAAATATATTTCTAATTAAAAGCTCTAGGTGATTCTATTGTACAACCAAATTTTGGAATTAACGAGGAGACTGCAACATTGACAAAATGTATAACCTGGACAATTTTTCTGATAAAAATTCTGATTAACTAGAGGTAAGGTATTTAGAGATTTTTTTACTTTTTGGTTGTATTTAATTAGTGATCCTATATAATGTCATTCATCTCCTTCAGCAAGGCATCCTGTTAAAAGTGGCTGAAACCATCAAAAGTTGGATTTGTTTTTCTCAGTGCAATAAGAAAGATGACTTACTTCACAAATTGGTGAGTATTCACTTTACTTCTTTTTTTTTTTTTTTTAAGAGAGAGGGAGAGAGAGGGAGAGAGAGAGAGAATTTTAATATTTATTTTTTAGTATTTGGCGGACACAACATCTTTGTTTCTATGTGGTGCTGAGGATCGAACCCKGGCCGCACGCATGCCAGGCGAGCGCGCTACTGCTTGAGCCACATCCCCAGCCCCTTCACTTCACTTCTTTTTTGTCATCTTACAGGGCTTCATGTATTTTGCTACTGATTTTGGCAGTGATTTTTCTTTTTTTTATTAGGAATTCTGCAACAACTGGGGACCTTTTAATTCAGGCTTTTGTTATTGTTCATAGCTCTTTTAAGAGGTTAGTAACAACTTAGAATGGAATATTCTGGTAGTTATTGGAACCTTGTTTTTTAGACTTATAAATCAGTGTTACCATCTTGCTTCATTGACAAGTGTTCCTCTCAGGAGGGAAGAGAATTCATCTATTAGTGTAATCAGTTTAGTCTTGGGGGACTGGTGAATCACAGAATTTCACAGACATTTGAAATGGTCAATCAACGCTGAGGGTCTTTGTGATTCCTGAGAGATTTTCTTTCTATTTTAAATTTTTTTTCACTAGACTAGGCTGTAATTAATATATCYATTGCTTGACTCATGACCTTCTTACAACCTAACAATATAAAATCCAGGAAGTATAGCTAAAACATTCAAGTTATAAAGTTCTCATGGCTCCCAAAAGGAGTAACCGAGTTATGAATGAGCAGGTTTCAGGATCCTCTGCAGGCCTGTGACTCTAAGAATTGTCATTCTTGTAAATTAACATCTGTAAAGAGATTGTTTACAAAGTGCTTTCACATTTTGATTCACTACTCCACACACACTATAAGGTTGAATATAGTTTGCCAGTGAAAACCCTAGATTCAGACCGTCTAGTTTGGTTTAATAYGATTAAGTGAATTGCCCAAGAATATTTAGCTACAGAACATGATASAGCCAGAATCTGAACCCAAGTCTCTTGGTTTCAAAACCCTTGCTCTTTCCACTCAAAACTACTACCTTTCTAGCTTGAGTATTATTATTTTTTGACTAAAATTATGTTTTTAGCAATCCAGATTATCAAGTTCTCTGTTCAGGGTTTCATCTTTATAGAAGGTGTATTGAGAAGGTCAAGGAAGTGTCTTATCATCTACGTAGAATATCATCTTTACCCAGGTGGAGCCATCTCATTCTTCAGTGATACTAGGACTGTGGTAAGGTATATGGATCCACATATGTTTTTCTGTGGTTTATTCATTGTTTGCATTGGCCTGGTCTTTTGTTCTTTGGTTCATTGTCAGTGGCCACATGTTTCATGTCATGTTTCTCTATAAAGTGGCAGGCAGCCTCTGTATGCATCCCTTTTGTGCCTGTATTTTGGAGAATTATGGGAATACATAACCAAAGAAGTAGTTGACTAAAGGAATTGACCACTTGGCTTCTGTCATGTGATTGCTTGACTTTACCACCTTGGTTGTGATATATTTAATATGTTGTTAATTATACAGAYGTTGAAGCAGACCMTCTTTTTTTAAATAAAAATACTGGCAATATTTTTGATATTTGAATATTTTACTGTTTATGTTTATAGTGCCTAGAGATTGAAACAAAAAGAGATTCCTTTATAGCAATTATGATGGTAGTGTTAGTAGTACTTTTTAAGCATTTTTTTGACCTATAAAATGCTTTCACACTTGTATCTCATTTGATCCTATCAGCTTTATGAAATAGCATTATGATATAGAAAACTGTGTAAGATCATTGATGCAGAAGAAAAAATTAGAAATCTCTTTATTCTTTAATGTGTCTTCTCATATCCTTTTCATTTCATCCAAGCAGAAATCGTCCTAAGTTACTTTCTCATGCCACTTTCCTGAAATTTCCATTATCCATAAAATCAATCCAAATTGCTCACTTCAGCACTAAAGAGTCTGCATAATTTAGTGTTAACCAACCTTTCCAACTTCATCCACCTTCCTTTTCTTTAATTTTGTATTCTGTATGCCCGTGTATGTGCTCTTATACTGTGGTGGAACTCTTTTCCATTTTTCTCTTGATCTCTTGGAATCTGTTCAGTAAGCAATCCTAGCTTTTTCTCAAGTTTCCCCCMCACACACACACACAAACTTTATTCCATTGGATCTCTTATTTATTCATCAACCTAGTAATAATTATCTATATTTATGTTCTATAAGTTTTTGCATTGTATTATGTTCAATGCATGCTTTTCTTGTCTTTGAATTATTTCATATGTACTAACAACACTAATAGCTAACACTTAGAACTTACTGTGTGCCAGAAACTGTTCTTACTATTTTATAGATATCAACTTATTCTGCACAGCCCTATAAAGTAGTACTTTTATTATCCCCCATTTTACAGATGAGAAAACTAGTACCGAGAAGCTATTAACTTGCTTAAGTTGTGAGCCCAAGATATAAGCCTAGGTTCCAAGTTTTGATACTCAAACTTATTGAGAATGAGCCATTTTATATAGTGCACCTTCCAACAGCACAGGGCTCCCACCTCTGATATATAAGTCAGTCGGAATTTGTACCTTTTAAATTTCTTCCTTTGTTTGATTTGAACCTGGACTTCTCAGTTCAAATAAGGCTGTTGTGAGATGTTTCTTAATATGGCATATGACTATTTTCCTAGAAGTTTGATTGCTGTAGTACAGCATATTTTCTACAGTTAATTCTTATTTTTATAAATAGTAATATATAATTTTATAATTTATCCTGAAGAAACTTATTAATTTAATCTTATTCCACTTAAATAGCCATTGTTATCAGAATATAGTTAAACTTTTTCCTCTGTAGAAGCAATCAAATCCTTAAGATAACACTGCTTTAGTTATTTGAAGTGTCTTGGTTCCTTTCAAGTTCACTRTTATTTTAGGTTGTTGGTGTGTTATATTCTTTAATCAGATATTCCCAAAGCTATTAATATTGCCTCTAAGCATATTGATTTGAGAAGACAGAGTATTCTAGTTTTGCAGTTGAGTGTGATGCTAGGAATGATGTTTAAACAAAGGAAAAGCAAAGTTCTGCCCTCAAACCTAAGACCTAATTGGTTTTATTTTTATTATAAAAGGCCTTGTTCATTTAAAAATTATTTTTATTTTGATAATATAACAAAATCACTCTGTTACTAAATTTAATACAAAACAAAATGTAAAATTCTCTGGTGAGGCTAACTGCAGAAAAGCAGAATTAACTACCAAAGACTACAGAAGGTACAGGGGATGGGAAAAGGTTGGTCAGTGGTTACTAAGTTACATTTAGATAGGAGTAATAATTTCTCATGTGTTATTGCACAATAAGGTTACTGTAGATATCCATAATGTACTATACATTCAAAAAACTATAAGAAAGGACTTTGTAAGTTTTCACCATAAAGAAATGATAAATAGGGAGAAAGATATGTTTAACTGGATTTAAACATTACACCATGTATCTGAGTATTGAAACATTACATGGTACTCCATTAATATGTACAATTTTTGTGTTCTTATGTATCACTTAAAATTAAACTTAAAAAAATCTATTAGAATTTGAAATCAGAATTCTGGAAAGTAACTTCATCTCTTTTGGCTTTTGGTTTCTTCTCTATAAAATGGAGAAGAGGATGATTATGTACATCACAGGGTTACTATGAAAATTAACCTGACTGCCCTAACACTGCTACCTCTTCTGTCACCTCTCTACCATGTGCAATGTGCATTCTGCACATATCATGAATTCTGCTCTCCCAAATTAGAAGGGCTTCTATCCTGATTGTCCCACTCTTCCAACTCTTTGATCTGATCAATTYTTATTTATCCTTTAAGACTATGTCAGGTTTTACTTCTTTAACTTTGGCTGACTTTAAATTTGGTTCTTCTGGTCATTTTCTTAGTTTCCTAGTTATACCTCATCACACTTCTTTACACATTATATCTTAACTGTTTAATTTTTGGTTCTGTCCATTAAACTATTAGGAACTCCTTAGTAAGAGTAGAGACTGGTAGGCCAAGTGTGAGCTCATTGGTAGAGTTCTTGCCTAGTATCACAAGGATCTAGGTTCAATCCCCTAATACTGCAAAAAAATAAAAATAAAAGATAGAGATTTGTATGTCTTGTCCATTTTTTGTGTCTTCGGTGTCAAGCATGGTACCTTGCTTGAAGAAGATATTCCTTGACATATGGATAGAAGGAAGAGAGTGAAGAATAAATGAACTGGTATATGTGAAGGCATTTTGTAAACTATAAAGTGCTATGGAAATGTTAATGTTGTTTTGCATTACATACCTAATGATGTACTTTTAAATAACTGAATGTCCATTTTTAGAAGGCCTTGATCCTGTTGACATAATTCTTAGATATGGCTTTATCATTACAGTATTCAGGGTCAGCATCTTTTATATTATATTCACCATGTTGCCTCCCAACAATTTAAGTAGGCTTGAGCAGACAGTGTTATTAATCTGTAATTACTTTATATCTCATTATTTAAAATTTATACTTTATATCTAATATCTTAATGTCGATCTCAATTTTTATTGTTTCACATATATAGTGAAAATAAAACCCCATCTGTCATACTTAAGATAGATTGGACTGTTTCTTTWGGGGGTCTGTACTGAAATGAACACCTCCTAAAGTTTATTATACATTAGAAGCCTAGCACTTAATACAATGGCATGTATGTATTAATTCTTTTCTTCTGGCATTTTAATGGCAAGGATACTGGATTCCGACTCGACTTACTGCATACCATCCTGCAACAGGAAGTCCTGTTACAAGAGGATGTAGAACTAATTGAACTACTTGATCCCAGTATCCTGTCTGCAGGGCAACCTCAACAACAGGAAAATGGACACCTTCCAACACTCCGCTCCCTGGCAACCCCTAATATTTGGTACTGTCCAGAAAACATCTATCTTTGACTGCTTWCATATAGAGTATCACAGAGGAAATGTCATCATGCTTTCCATTGTAAAGGCATTATAAACATCCTATACAATTAGCATTACAATGAATGTAATGATATGCTAGAGGTTAAAAAAYGTTTCTCTGAAGTAACTGCTATTTAAAGTGAAGCCGGAAAAACATATGATTTGATTATCATATACTTCCAACTCAGTAAAATTAGTTTTGAGCTTAGCAGCTCAACAAGAAGTATAAATATAAGCCAGGTGTGGTAGTGCACGCCTATAATCCTAKCGGCTCAGGAGGCTGAGACAGGAGGATTGTGAGTCAAAGGAAGCCTCAGCAACTTAGAGCCTAACCAACTCATTGAGACCCTGTCTCTAAATAAAATACAAAAAAAGGGCTGGAGATGTTGCTCAAAAACAAACAGATAAGCATTTTCAATCTCTTGAAGTACCTGCATCTAATGCAAAAGTCATATTTTTTTAAATAAGAAGAAGAATGGTAAAATGAGATTATATATAAAAAGTTGCTGATGTCCTCCTATTAGCATTTATTAAATTTGACAGAGAACGGAGGAATGAATCAAGGAATGCACTAAATCACTGTTCCAGTTATATTCGGCAGTTACATTCTTTGGCCTCAGTGTTCTAAATGTCTTTCCTGTCACACTGACAGATGCTTCARATAGTGAAGTATGATACTTTTTAAATCTGCAGTCAACCAAGTATCATCATGAGGAAGTAAGCATCTTTTCCTTCAAAAGTAGAAGAATTTTCTGGGTGAGGTGCCACAAACCTGTAATCCCAGCTATTTAGGAGCCTGAGGCAGAGGGATCGCAAGTTCAAGGCCAGCCTGGACAACTTAGGGAGACCCTGCCTCAAAATAAAAAGAACTAAGCATGTAGCTTGGTGGTAGAGCACCCCTGGGTTCAATCCCTAGAACCACACACACAAAAAAAATTACGACTATTTCATATTACCTTATTAAATGTCATATTTTCACAGTCTTGTTTCACAAAGAATTTATCAATTTTAGTACACCTAAATTTACTGTTGTTTTTACCAGTTGACTTATCTTTCTTTTTCTTGTCTAATGGATATCCTTATCTTGGTTTCTCTGTTCCTAGGGATGTCTCAATGCTATTTGCCTTCATTAGTTTGCTGATTATGCTTCCCACTTTGTGGATTGTATCTTCTTGGATGGTATGGGGAGTGGTTCTATTTCTTTATTTGATCATACGAGCATTGAGATTATGGAGGACAGCCAAACTACATATGACCCTAAAAAAATACAGTGTCCGTCTGGAAGATATGGCAGCAAATAGCCGAGCGTTTACTAATCTTGTGAGAAAAGCTTTACGTCTCATTCAAGAAACTGAAGTCATTTCCAGAGGATTTACACTGTGAGTTCATTTTTCGTTTCATTTAAAAAATTACTATTTTTCACTACATAGTTTAAGGAGACTATTTATTATCTATTTTCATTTATCTCTTGAATTTACTRGAAAAGAGCATGTTACCTGTCAGCCCTACTTAAAGTCTATTAACTGTAAAATGAAGGGTTAAAGACATTATRTGCTAGATTTAACATGTAGTATGATTCTACTTACCTCCTTTGAGAAACCATAGTACTTCAAGGATCATGATTATTTTATCTATTACCATATATTTATTTGTATRAGATAATATAAAAAGACTGCCTGACACTGAACCTAGCATGCAATCGGTACCCCATACATGTCTGTTCCCTTTATTCTCTTTTAAATGTCATCTTTCTCCAGTTTAAGTGATAGATGTATCTGACATGGATTAATTTTGAAGTCTTAACCTGTGTTAGTAATATTCTTTAGYAAACATTGGTGGTATTATAGCACAGATACTTTCAGAATATCATGCAAATAGTGATGTTTCGTATTCCCATTGGCAACAAAATATTCACCAGTTCAGCCGTAAGTGTTTAAGCTACTGCCATACTTGCTACTTATTTTTTTATTAAAAAAAAGTTAAATGAACACCAACTATGTTCATATACTATGCTAATCACTTTTACATACAACTAAAGGCAAGTTGTATGGTAAGTGATAGATCACATATCCAAATCCATTCCATCTGACTTCTAACTTATTTCCAGTAAGTTGTTGCCTATTAAATGCTCACAAATGTTGGCTGGACTATAGTATATTTAATAATTTATATTACTTATTTAGCAATTGCAGTCTATATGTGGGAGAAAGTATATAATAAAGAATAACCATTACTTTTAGTTGTATTTGGGAAATTGTGAAAATCAGAAGTGAAAAACCTCTCGTGTCTTGAATTCTTCACTCTGCTCTAGAATAGGACTTAAGCAATCTTGACAGAAAAGCTGTATCTGGAACATTATGGAACAAAGAAGAGGAAGAAGCTGCAGTAGTTATAATGTTCTTTACTCTGTTGTATTCTACACAACAGTTCTGAGTGTTCATATTATTCCAAGACATTAGAGGGATTTTATACCTTCTCCTCTGCTCAACTCAAAATAAAAGTGCTCAGTATCTATGGATATTTTCCTTCCACTAGGTTAGGTCTGCTTCTTACTGGTAGAAGATAATGGTTTTATGTTGTTTGTCAAATTTTAAAAATTAAAAATCACACTTAAAATAAGTAATATCTCCTTTTCATTCTTGACTTACCCAGCATTTTATTGAAAGGCCTGACTGATTAAGCTGAATGTCTGTGTGCCTATCTAATGTTTAGGCATGTGTAGAGGATTCTGGGCCTTTGTCACTTTCAGGTTTTTACCTATATATATATGGAATTGGCATGAAAAGGTAATGTGGGCCAGTTAGACACAATTTACCTCTAGATGATGCTTTTCTACTATTCAGATGGCAGATAGGCAGAAAAAATATTGGAAGAAATTGTGTTTCATTTATCTCCGACTAACTGGACAGTACTCTGAAAAAAATGAGAAATAACAAATCGTGAATCATAATAATTTTTTACAAATATTTTTACTTTGTAAAACTGGTTTAGWAAATTGGAACACAAACAATAGTTCCATATGTTGAAATTATGCATGCTATTTTGTTTCTGTCTCAATTTGTCCTCTCTAGAAAATAATTTAACCCTTCTTTGCCTTAAGAATAAGCCTGTTGGAGCTGGGGCTGTAGCTCAGTGGCAGAGCACTTGCCTAGCACATGTGAAGCACTGGGTTTGATCCTCAGCACCACATAAAAATAAATAAAGGCATGCTGTCCATCTAAAACTACAAAAAAATTAAAAAATAAAAAAGAATAAGAGTATCAGTCATTATCCATATATTTTAATTTGTTTTAACATTTTTAAAGTTCTGAGTTAGGGTTTTAAATATAAGTTTATGGTTATATTATAGAAAATTTACAAATATTGATATTTGTTATTATCTAATAACTGTAATATTTAATCCAGCATACGTAACAGTCATAAAACAACACATAAATTATTGCAAATAGATACTTTCCATTAATCTTAAGGAAAGTGGCATAAAATGTGCTCCTTTTGAACAATTTTGAGAGTAGCTCTCCTACCACATAGTAACCCTTACTTTACCTTTCTACTTGCATTCCCCTGTTGGCCACTGGTCCTGTTATCTTTCTGCGCCCCCTACTTCATTTTGAGTAGGTAAGTGCCAGTGGCAGCAGGTGGGTAAGTAATTTTACCCTACTTTTATGAATGTACAGAATGTTATTTCTATWCAGTATTTGATTGTTCTGTACAAGTAACCAAATATATGATTAATTGAATATATGTAAATGTATATTAAGAATGTGAATCTGTTGATAATTAAAATCCTTCATATATCTCRTGGATATGGGTTCTGAAAACTGTAAAGTAGTTTCACTTTAGTGTATTTTAGAAGGTAGAGTATCTTTATGGAAAAAATATGCAAATTCTTACATAAATATTTTTATATTTCTATTCTATCACAACTGATGGTTTCCCCATATCATAGGAAACCTTTAATCTTTGAGATTTTGATTTTTCACTTGTGTTTTTTTCTGATGGCCATGAATGGGTCAGGGAAATGGTTATTTATGACACCTGAATTGGGATACTTATAGTCATTTTCTAATAAAAATTATGAGAAAGGAATTCTTTCTAACGTTAATAGAATTGTGGATTTAGGAAACAAAAATTTTAGGACATCTGTACAGTTGTATCACATTTTACTTTTCAAGTTTGCTTGACAGGGTCAGTGCTGCTTGCTCATTTAATAAAGCTGGACAGCATCCCAGTCAGCATCTCATCGGTCTTCGGAAAGCTGTTTACAGAACTGTAAGAGCCAACTTTCAAGCAGCAAGGCTAGCTACCCTATATATGCTGAAAAAATATCCTTTTCTGTCTATGTGTGAGAATAAACATTATTCAAAAGTCCATTATAGTTGCATCCTGTAAAAGTTAACAGTAGGTTTGGACTGTGGTTTTGAARCTAATTTTCATCATCATTTCTATTTTTAAACTGGAAATGCATTCCAGGGAAATGACAGTAACAGGAAGAAAGCTCTTCTGCTCTTGGGTGGCTCATTTTTAACAGGGGGGGGGAAAATATCAAGACCCTCCCTTTAGAGATCCACAGAATAAAGTCAAAAGAGCCTGGATTTGCTAGSTCTGACATTTTTAAAAATGGCTGAACATGGTAATAAACTGGCAACAGGAAATCCTTCCCCTTTCAAAAAGCAGACAGATTGCCTAAATTCAAATTCTGACTCTTTTGGTTTCTGCCCAGGTGACCAGTTTCTTAATCTCATGTACTTTATTCTCCTCATCTTTAAAATGGCAATAATAACATGATTTTCTTCATTGKGTTTTTGTTCAGGTSAAATGAGTTAATGCATGTAAAGTGATCAGACAGTCCCTAGCATATAGGAAACACTCAAAGACTACATGACAGTAAGTCTGTCACTTAAATTTACTAAATTAGGAAACTACTTCTGTTTGCCAGAAAATAAAAGTGTATATGATCTTTATTTTAGGAAAATTTCCGTGGCTATATTAAATCATGAGTAAATAAAGAGACTACCTGGTTATATGTAAACAACGGAAAATATGCAATTATTAGAACAATAGTCATCTGGCCGTTAATACTTTAGTGTGAGATGATCTCCAAGTTTTATTTAGTGAAAAAAACAGCAAAGTGCTCAAAGCAATATTTATAGTATCCATGCATAAAGAGGACTCTGTAAATATGTAGGGATAAATAAGTATGAAAGTGTTTGTGTGTCCAGGTGTATATGTCCTATAATTATTAAATATCTCCAGATACACAAATATTTATTTATTTATTTATTTTTTAAAGATAGAGAGAGAGAGAGAGAATTTTAATATTTATTTTAGTTTTTGGCGGACACAACATCTTTGTTGGTATGTAGTGCTGAGGATCGAACCCGGGCCGCAGTCATGCCCGGCGAGCGCGCTACTGCTTGAGCCACATCCCCAGTCYCCAGATACACAAATATTTAAATGTAGATTTGCTTTTATGTATGTATGTATACAATACTTTGAAGGATACATAAGGTACTGCAATAAGGATTGCCTTTACTTTTGATAGCAAAACTAGGTGACTAAGTGATRGGGTAGAAAATAGTTTTCACTGGACCTCATGAATTTTGAATCTTATTCAAAAATTAATCGAATAAGAAAAATTTTAACTACCAAGTCAAGATGATTTTATTAGTTTAAAAAAAATCCAGCCATAGGAAATGTTAGAAATCTCCCCACATCAATTTATTTATTAAAATGCTTTAATCTCAGTATCTAAACATTATATATCACAAAGAATAAAAACTGTACACTAATCTCACAATAGAGATACAAAATATTTAACAAAGCATTTATAAATATAACCTAGCATCAAATCAAAATATTATCACAATATGACCGAATAGGCAAATTCTAGAAATGCAAGGATGGTTCAATATCAAGAATTCTATGGATATAATTCTTTCAAAAACAATGAATGGCCAGGCACAGTGGTGCATACCTATAATCCCAGTGTCTCAGGCCATTGAGGCAAAAGGATCATGAGTTCACGGCTAACCTCAGCAACTTAGTGTAAAAAATAATAAAAAGGGGCTGGGGAGTGCTAGTGGTAAAGTGCTTCTGGGTTCAATCCCCAGTACCAAAATAAATAAGTAAGTATATAAACAACAACAAAGAGGAAAACTAACATTTTGATTGATATAGATATATGTCCATAAGGAATAAAACAAAGGAAACAGCAGTGGTCTATGTCAGACAACCCAGAAAAGGTTTAGTGCCATTTATGTTAGTAGTCTATGCGGTGTTAAGTAAATTATGTCTTGTGTATGGACTGAAACAAAGAGAAGTATTTACTGTAGCATAGTGGGGACCTGAGCTRCAATACAATTCAAAAGGCAGGTGTTAAAAAGTACTAAATTAGCATTTTAGCACCTTTGAAGAGTCAAGACTTTTATTTTTTTTTATTTATTTTTTCCTTTATTTTATTTATTTTAATGTGGTGCTGAGGATTGAACCCAGTGCCTCACACATGCTAGGTGAGCACTCTACCACTGAGCCACAACCCCAGGTTCCTAATTATTTAGACATTAAAATTTTTTTTAATATATATATTTTTCAGTTGTGGATGAGCCTTTATTTTTATTTATTTATTTTTATGTGGTGCTGAGAATTAAACCCAGTGCCTCATACATGCTAGGCAAGCACTCTACTACTGAACCACAACTCCAGCCCTAGACATTAAAATTTTTATTCACAAGTATCCTACATCTGAATGTTGTTAATATGTAGGTCTTGAGATTAATCAGTGCTAAAAAATTGCTATAAATCTCCAGCAAAGGTTCACAGTACATCAGGGCTAGGGTTGTGGCTCAGTGGTAGAGCGCTTGCCTGGCAYGTGTGTTGCACTGGGTTCGATTCTCAGCACCACATATAAATAAATTAATACATAAAGTAAAGGTCCATCAACAATTTAAAATATATGTATTTTTTTAAAAGTTCACAATATAGACTAGTAAATGTAATTTTGAACAATTTGACTGTTCYTTTTATGGTTTAATGAAAAGGCTTTGTTGATTGCCTTAACCTGATTTAACCTACCCTCTGAACTCTGAGAGTGACAATGTTACCAACTACATCTGTGTGGTGCCTTTTAAGGAACTGGGCCTTGGACTTAGTGAAGAGCAGATTTCAGAAGAGGAAGCACATAACCTTACAGATGGCTTCAGCCTACCTGCATTAAAGGTAATCCATTTGCAGAAGAAAAATACTGAAGAAAAGACAGATACACTTGGATTATACCTGTGCTTTCTGAACATAAATGGGTGTATTTGTTTACCTTCCTTGTTTGCTGGATGTCATCATCATAAATATGTTAATGATGTTTGTGACACTGTTTTTAAAAACTGAGAGAATCATACAGATCAAATTTATGTTTCGTATCAAAATTCTTAAAATTCTTTATATAAGAAAATACCTTAAATTAGAGCCTGGAAATAAGTGAATTACTTTAATAGAAAGCCAGTATGATTTTTATGGTCAGCCATTTGTTTAAACAAACATGGACAAAGCATATATATAAGATTTATAACGTGGGGCTGTAGCTCAGTGATAGAGCACTTGTCCAGCATGTGTGAGGCACTGGGTTCGAGCCTTGGCATCACATAAAAATAAACAAATAAAATAAAGGCCTGCTATCCATCTACAACTAAAAAAAAAAAAACAAACTATATCATCCCTTGAAAAAAAGTCCCTCAGATTTTTTTTACATTTCGTATATTAAGGAAAAGATTTCTCATATAGTAAAATCCACATGAAAAGATGATTGATTGCATAAAAATTAAACTTCAAACCTAAAATACTAATTAATTTTATTTCTTTTTTCTTTTATTATTAATTGATGCATTTTAATTAWACTTAATAGTGGGATTCATTGTTAAGTGTCTGTACCTGCACATAACATAATTTGGCCAARTATTGCATATTTTAATTACAAGAAGCTCAAAAAATTACAATGATTTATAACAAAGGGCTTGGATTTTTCCCATATAAAGAGTACTAAAGTACTAAAACTTAAAGGGCTGAGGGTGTAGGTCAGTGGTAGGTTGCTTGCCTGGTATGCATAAAGCCCTTGGTTTGATCCCCAGCACTGCAAAAACAAACAAAAAAACAAAGCTTATAGAAGACAGGTCAGATACAAATACTAATAAATATGAAAAAATTTTAAATCTTGGTGATGAAAGAAACAAAAATAATAATCATTTTGCCAAGGATATTGAAAGTTAATATTCATTATCAATGATGAATCAGAGAGACCTCATATATTAATGGTGAGAAAATAATTTATTCACTTTAGCAGTGAATTCCAGTCTTCACAAAAGTGTGTATCCTTTCCTCCAGCAATTTTATAGACTTATCTAAGGAAGTAATCAAAGATTTATCCAAAGCAGGTTCATATTACTATAGCAGCAAATATTGGAAACAAATTATAAGTTTAATATAATGGGGAGTTGGTAATGGTTATAATGAATACATTTGATGAACTTCTTTGTTAGAAGTAGCAAAATATTGAAGAAAAATAATAACATGGAAAAATATAAGTTAAAGTAAGTTACAGAAATTTCCTAAGATTTTAGGAGTATGTTTAAGAAGTCAATCCAAATGTTCTAAATTCCTTTTTAGACAGGTAGAGTGGCACACACCTATAATCCCAGCTACTTGGGAGGCTGGGGCAGGAGGATCACAAGTTTGAGGCTATCCTGGAACCGTAGTAAGACTTTCTCAAAATAAAATAAGAAGGACTGGGAATATGGCTGAGTGGTAGAATGTCCCTTGATTCAATCCCCAATCCAAAAACCAAAAAAAGAAAATCCTGGTTAGTATTTAGTATTCATCAATTTCTTTTTAAATATTCTTTGTTTCTAGTCTTTAAAAAAATCACATGATAAGATGAAAACAAGTGCAAGTGTAGTTTAATTGACAGCATTTATCAAGATCCATTTTGTTTTGGGACTGTATCAACTTGTATCTTTTAAATTTTCTATTCTATGTAAATTTTCTAATTCTGGAGCTGGTTGTATAACTCAGTGGGTTCAGTCTCCAGCCCCAGACCGCCAATTTTCTTTCTGATTCTCCTGTTTATTTTTCCCCTTTCCCGTTATTTTAAATTTGCCTTTACTTATTCTTACCCTTATTCTAACCCACCTTAAATAAATAGCACCATACAACTTAGCTAGAAGCCATCCTTCTTATCTCTCCTCCTACTTCTCACATTCAGTCAGCCAGCAGATTTTTGGGTCAGTTCTCTCTTTAAAATGTATTTTAAACTCACCTACTTTTTTCTGTATCCCCTCCTACTATTATAGTCTTAGCCACAAGTTTCCTTCCTTCCTTCCTTCCTT